GTGAGGAATGTTCTGGTGTGGAAGGTTTGGAATGGTTGTAGAATGTGAGGAATGTTCTGGTGTGGAAAGTTGGGAATGATCCTTCTGGAAGGTGAGGAAGGGTCTGGTGTGGAAAGTTGGGAATGATCATTCTGGAAGGTGAGGAAGGGTCTGGTGTGGAAAGTTGGGAATGATCATTCTGGAAGGTGAGGAAGGATCTGGTGTGGAAGGTTGGGAATGGTTGTAGAATGTGAGGAATGTTCTGGGGTGGAAAGTTGGGAATGATCATTCTGGAAGGTGAGGAGTGATCTGGTGTGGAAGGTGAGGAAGGGTCTGGTGTGGGAGGTTGGGAATGATCTGGTGTGGAAAGTTGGGAGTGGTTGTAGAAGGTGAGGAATGATCTGGTGTGGAANGAAGGTGAGGAAGGGTCTGGTGTGGGAGGTTGGGAATGATCTGGTGTGGAAAGTTGGGAGTGGTTGTAGAAGGTGAGGAATGATCTGGTGTGGAAGGTGAGGAATGATCTGGTGTGGAAGGTGAGGAATGATCTGGTGTGGAAAGTTGGGAATGATCATTCTGGAAGGTGAGGAATGTTCTGGTGTGGAAGGTTGGGAATGGTTGTAGAAGCTGAGGAATTTTGTGGTGTGGAAGGTTGGGATGGTTTTTGTACAATGTGAAGAATGTTCTGGTGTGGAAGGTGGGGAATGATCATTCTGGAAGGTGAGGAGTGATCTGGTGTGGAAGGTGAGGAAGGGTCTGGTGTGGAAGGTTGGGAATGGTTGTAGAATGTGAGGAATGTTCTGGCATGGAAAGTTGGGAATGATCATTCTGGAAGGTGAGGAATGTTCTGGTGTGGAAGGTTGGGATGGTTGTTGTAGAAGGTGAGGAATGTTCTGGGGTGGAAAGTTGGGAGTGGTCCTTGTAGAAAGTGAGGAATGATCTGATGTGGAAGGTGAGGAAGGGTCTGGTGTGGAAGGTTGGGAATGATTATTCTGGAAGGTGAGGATTGTTCTGATGTGGAAGATGAAGAATAGTCCAGTGTGGAAAGTGAGGAACGATCCCTTGTGGAAGGTGGGGAATGCTCCAGTGTGGAAGTTGAGGAGCAGTTTGATGTGGAAGGTGAGGAATGATTCGGTGAGGAAGGGTCTGATGTGGAAAATGAGGGACAATCCCATGTGGGAGGTGGAACTTGAGGAGCAATCCCACGTGCCCTGCCATGGGTTGCCCCATGAGATATTTTTGGAGTCTATGGGGAAGGGGTTGGGTGGGAAGGTGAGGAAGGGTCGGTCCAGTGTGGAAGGTTGGGAATGATCCTTCTGGAAGTGAGGAAGAGTCTGGTGTGGAAGGTGAGGAAAGCTCCAATGTGGAAGGTGAGGAGCAATCCCACGTGGAAGATGGGGATGGATTTTATGTGAAAGGTGAGGAGCAATCCCATGTGGAAGTTGAGGAAAGCTCCAGTGTGGAGCATGAGGAGCAATCCCACGTGGAAGATGGGGATGGATTTTATTTGGAAGGTGAGGAACAATCCCATGTGGAAGTTGAGGAAAGCTCCAGGGTGGAGGGTGAGGAACAATCCCATGTGGAAGTTGAGGAAAGCTCCAGGGTGGAAGGTGAGGAAAGCTCCAGGGTGGAGGGTGAGGAGCAATCCCATGTGGAAGGTGNGTGGAAGGTGAGGAAAGCTCCAGGGTGGAGGGTGAGGAGCAATCCCATGTGGAAGGTGAGGAGCAATCCCCTGTGGAAGGTGGGGATGGATTTTATTTGGAAGGTGAGGAGCAGTCCCCTGTGGAAGGTGGGGATGGATTTTATTTGGAAGGTGAGAAACAATCCCATGTGGAAGGTGAGCAGCAATTCTGCGTAGAAGATGGGGGATGGATTTTATTTGGAAGGTGAGGAGCAATCCCCTGTGGAAGGTGGGGATGGATTTTATTTGGAAGGTGAGGAACAATCCCATGTGGAAGGNGGATGGATTTTATTTGGAAGGTGAGGAGCAATCCCCTGTGGAAGGTGGGGATGGATTTTATTTGGAAGGTGAGGAACAATCCCATGTGGAAGGTGGGGAGGCCCTCAGGCCCATCCCAAATCCCGCGGCGGGCGCCGAGGAGCGCCCCGGCTCCCGGCAATTAAACGCTGCTAACGAGGGAAGCGCTCGTTCCGTCCCTCGCGATTGCTCCTGGCGCAGCCTCTCGACGAGCGCCTTCCAACACGGTTCTGCAGCACTGGAAGGGGAAAAAAAAATTAAATAAATCGAATCAAATCTGCATATTTTAAGGAGACAGATTGCTGCCTTCATCTGGCTCCCTGATTAGATGCCAGGGCGGCACCGTGCGACAGGAATTCTGTTCTTTTCCTTCCTTTCCCTCTTTCTTTTCCCTCTTTTCTTGAAATATTGTTGCGCTGGGTGATTTTGATCTGAAAGATTCACTGTGGGGGGGGGAACAAAATCCCTCTTTGCTGCCTGAACTCGTGAAAACCTTGAAGCCACCAGGCCCAAAGGTGACCCGCAGAGCTCTGGAGGATTTTTGGGAAGCGGGAACCCGGCGGCTCCGGTAAAAATGCAGATTTAAAGCGCAACTTGGGCTTGTTTCGTGGAAATCGGAATTTTCCATGTGGCTTTCAAAGGTTTCCAAGCAACCGTGTGCGGTTGGCTTTGGCACGATCCCGGCGTCCTCTCGATTCCTTTGGGATGGAGCCAGCCAGGAAGCTTCCTGCCGGCTCGGAGCGGTGGGAGACGGCCACCGATGTCCTCTGCTCCGGGAACCCGCTGGCTGGGGCAGCGATTCCCTGGAATTGCGGATTCCGAGGGTTTGGGACCTTCTGGTTGGGCGGAATCCCCGCGGTCTTGAGAATTACGGGAGGTGGGATCCCGATGTTCTCCGCTCACGGATTGCTGGTGTCCGGTCCTGGGGTTGTCCAGCCTCGTAGGGATGTGGAGTTGCTGGAGCAAGTCCAGAGGAGGACACGGAGCTTCTCCAAGGGTTGGAGCTCCTCTGCTCTGGAGCCAGGCTGGGAGAGATGGGAATGTCCAGCCTGGAGAAGGGAAGGATCCATGGAGATCTCAAAACCCCTTCCAGTGTCTCAAGGGGCTCCAGGAGAGCTGGAGAGGGAATTTGGACAAAGGGATGGAGGGACAGGACACTGGGAATGGCTTCCCACTGCCAGAGGGCAGGGATGGATGGGATTTTGGGAAGGAATTCTTCCCTGTCAGGGTGGTGAGGAGCTGGGATGGAATTCCCAGAGAATCTGTGGTCGCCTCATTCCTGGAATTGTCCAAGGCCAGGTTGGACGGGCCTTGGAGCAACCTCGCGTGGTGGAAGGTGGGGAGGAATGAGAGGAGCTTTAAGATCCATTTCAGACCAAACCATTCCACAATCCCGTGACAAAATCGGATTTGGCCGGCGTCCACCGTGGCGTTGGATGCTGTAAAAATCGTTTGCTCCACCGCGACCTTTCCCGTGATTCTCTGATGGTTTTGTTTTTTTTTTCCTGCTTTGCTGCACACGCTGGGAATAAAATCCAATCCCATTTATTCCCAAATCGTGGAGTGCTGATGTTTTAATCCCATATTTTAACGCGCTGTTCCTCTCCGTTCCCCCCGGCCTGTTGCAAATCCATCCCTAAGGAATGAAGCTGGAGAACGAGACTCCTTCAGGACTGGAGGGCGTTTTTTGGGGATGATTTTTTTTCCCCCATGTTGGTGAATTTGCTTTCCCGGCTCTGCTGATGTTCACACAACCCTGAGCAGTCGCTGAATCCGTATAAAATCCTCATTTCCGTGTCCGTGTCCAGCTGGGAAATTGGGAAACGTTGTTGTTGTTGTCCCAGCAGGAATTCAGCCGCCGGTCGCAAAGTCCTCCTGAGCAACAGCGGATTTGGGGAGTGGGAAATATAATTCCAGTCCTCCTGAGCTGCACCCGAGTCCTCTCCTGGTCCTTGGGCAATCCTGCCAGGGAATAACAAATCCCGGGAGGAGAGGGAGGCTCGGAGCGTCCCGGTGTGCCCGGGCCAAAGGAGGCCGGGAAGAAAGCCGGGAAATTCCCGTGGAAGGGTCGCCCTGTTGAGGTGAACGGGTTGGGCTCCGGAATCCCTGTGCAACGGTTTGGGGTGGGAAGGAGCCTAAAGCCCGCCCGGTTCCACGGCCTGATGGTCCCCATCCCGTTTTTCCAGGCAGCTTTCCTCCGGGAAGGTGAATTCCGCGTCCGTGGGATTGGGTTTGCCAGCGTTCAGGAACGCTCATAACCACGGGATAGGATTCCATGCAGGTGCTTTGCTCGGGAGCTCTGGGAATTCCGGGCTGCAGACCCAAATCTGACTCCGATTTTATATCCCATCGTTATATAACTTACATATTCATTATTAAACTTACACTGGCCTATTGTACACATTGACTTTATTCAGGCACGAGTTTCTCGGGATCTTTCTCAGGCCCCTGACCACAGTTTCTCGTGATTATTCTTACGATTAAACAGCAATTCTATTTAATTACCAAGCAATCATCACATCTAACAATTATATCATTTACCATGTACAGGTTCTAGCAAGGTACGAGGCCTGCATGTGCCCAGGGTATTTATTATTTTCAGGGCCTGCTAAGCTTTATTTCCCTTTTAACCCAAAATCCTCGTGATTTAAAAACCCTTTTACTGTCAGCTTTGGGCAGAGCCATCACTCCAGAGGCTTTTCCAAGGTGGAGGGATTGGGGCTCCCTTCCCGGGGTCGGGTGCAGCCCCCCAGGAATAACGGGATGCTGACAGTGGGATCCTGGCCGGTGGATTTGCTTCCTTTGTTTCCAAGTTTGATTTGAGCGAAATCTTTGGGAAAGAGCCTGGAGGGACAGGAGGAGGGGAATGGCTTGAGATGAACAGAGGGAATTTGGGATATTGGGAATGAATTCCTTCCTGCNGGAGGAGGGGAATGGCTTGAGATGAACAGAGGGAATTTGGGATATTGGGAATGAATTCCTTCCTGCTTCCTTTGTTTCCAAGTTTGATTTGAGCGAAATCTTTGGGAAAGAGCCTGGAGGGACGGGAGGAGGGGAATGGCTTGAGATGAACAGAGGGAATTTGGGATATTGGGAATGAATTCCTTCCTGTGAGGGTGGTGAGGGGCTGGGATGGAATTCCCAGAGAATCTGTGGCTGCCCCATCCCTGGAAACATCCATGGCCAGGTTGGACGGGATTGGAGCAACCTGGGGTGGTGGAACAAGGTTGGAACGAGATGATCTTGGAGGTCTTTTCCAACCTGAAGCATTCCATGATTCCACTTTATATCCTAACAGCTCCTGCCGTGCTTGTTACCTTTTTGAAGGAATTTCATTTAATTCTGATTTGTAGGAATTTTAATTAGTCGAGGGAGGAGAACCTCGAGTGACATCTCCTGTCGAGGAATAACGACGCCAGGCTTCCTCTTGACCAAAATCTTGCTGCTGTTGTTGCTTGGAATGATTTTGGTTGGAAAACACCTCCAAGGTGCCGCAGCTTTTCTTGGAATTCCATTCCAGCGCCTCAACACCTTCCCAGGGCGGAATTCATTCCCAATATTCCATATTATCCCTCTCATTTTCCATTTAAACCCCCCCCCCGGGGCCTTGTCCTGGCATTCCCAAATTTAGGTCCGGAATGTGCATCTCCATTTTCCAGGGATGGAAACAACTTCCCCCAACGTCCTTTTGATGAGGTCCAGGAGCCAAATGGAACCTTTAATTTTATTAAACGGAATTAGCGGAGTAAAGCCCTAATTAAGGAGGGTTTAACAATAATCTCTCGGAACGAGCAAAGTCGTGGTATCCTGCCTCTGCTCCACTCCCTGGTTTTTTTTTTTTTTTTTGGGAATGTTTTGTAATAAAACTTTTTTAACTGAGTTTTGTGGCTGTTTCCGAATAAAAATTTATTTACAAATCCATCCCTCCCAAGGGATGACCGGGAAAAGGGGTCCTGGATCACGGTGGAGTCGCCTTTTCGTTGAACTAAAACATCTCGAATATTTCATTTTTACTCTTCCAAGTTGCAGGATTTTTGGGTTTTTTTTGGGTTTTTGTTTGGGTTTTTTTGTGTGTGTGTGTTTTTTGTTTGTTTGC